TTTATAACATTGTTAAAGTGATTTGTGAAAGTTCTTGAAATCTTTAATAATATTTGAATATCCACTTTATTTTTTCTAGATACTTTTCTACTTTAATAAATGTTTGGAATTAATAATGTTGTTTGAACAAAGAATAAACTTTAAAAGTAATAAGTGTTTTATAAATGTAATAACACTATTATAGTTTTATGACTTTTATAATGCAGTTAGTGACTAAAGTGTTATTACTTTTGTATTCGTAAGTTAATTGTTTTTGTTTTGTTTTTTGTAACTTTCTTGCTAGTAAACTTTTAGTAATTTGCTCCTTATAAACAAAGTACACAGCTTTGCATGAACTAAAATTTTAAATACCTAATATTTTACCAGAGATTGCAAATCACGATCGTATAATTTAACTCTTGATATAAACTTGTTACATTATAATTATACAAATATATTTTACAAACAGATGACGATACATATTTTCTCTTTCCTTTTTTAAAGGAAAAACACATAAAATATGGGAAAGTCATCCTTTTTAACGCCTAAAACTGTTTTTTTTTTTTTTTTGCTTTGACTTAATGAATTTTGTTGCTAATAATAATAACCACTAAGAAAAAAACAACAAAAAAAAAACAACACACAAATTATTTAAACTATTATTATTGTTTTGTATTTAAGTTCACTTTAATTTCTTAAGTAGTTATTAAATTTAAAACAATTTTTCAGCAACGCATATAAATAAAACTTGCGCAAACGGCTGTGATCACGTTCTCTAACTTGAAAAATGTTTTTGTAGTCATAGGAGGTGAAAAATCACCCGCCTTTTCTGGGAAGGCTTGATATATATATATATATATATATATATATATATATATATATATATATATATATATATATATATATATATATATATATATATATATCAGGCTTTTCTAGGAAACGCGTGCGGTCGCACACCTTGTTTGTCCATGCATAGAATAAATTTTTCTGACTAACTGACCACATTTTATTATTATGCGTTTCAAGAATTCGCACCAAAACAAAGCTAAACAAAAATACTGTAAAAATACAAGTAATGCTAAACGTGACATGACTGCTTATTTATTGCAAATCCATTTTAAATAATGTAAAAATATAAATAAAACTTTTAATTTTTTAATTTTTTTTAACTTTTTTTTTTATAAAGAATTAGTAAATTTATTAGCAAATAATACTTTCAATAGTTATTAATAAAATTTAAAATTTCTTGCATAAATAGTTGTTAATTTTATAAGATCACTTAATATTTTCTCCCAAAATTTTAAAATGGAGACGGAATAAATAAACACTCGGGTCGGTTAAAGTAACTAACAGAAATCTGTTTGTGCTTTAAAAATAAAAAAATAATGAATATTAATAAAACAAAGATTTACCTATATTTCATTTATTTATTTTTTCTTATTTTGTTGGGTAGTAGTTATTTCAGCTATGAAAAATCAAATCAATACAAATCAAGGAAAAAGAAAAGATTATAGTTTATATAAATTCAATGAAAATAAAAGGACCTTTTAATGTAAAATTTGTTTACAACTTTTTTCAGTCAGTAATACTTTAAAATTCATACTAGAACTATAAACAATTTTTAAATTTATGTTTTTAAATGTTTCATAAATACATTTAAATGTTTAATTTCAAATGTGAAAAAATTTTATTATTAAATGATTGTTTTGCTTATTTGCAATCATAAATTAACATTGTGAACGAGTGTTAAAAATAAATGTCATGAGGGTACTGTTTTCATAACAATGATTAAAGAAGCAATGCAATTATTTTTTTAAACTTCTTTTGTAATTACAAAATTATGTAATTTTAATAATTTCAACGTAATAAAAGGCAAGCCTTGACTCAGTATAATCAGGTTAGAATAAGTCGAGAGAGAGAGAAGAAATGAGTATCACAAAATCACTAAAAACTATTCAATCATGGAAATACGATTTTCTCGGTCAAGAAGTAATAAAGTTGAACAATATAGACACTTGTTAAAATCTCGTGTAAACTGTGCGCTAAGCAAGAAAATAGCATTCACACCTCAATATTGGGGATTGCCAGAAATTCTTTAAATGCCTTTAGAAATGGAACCAATGTTGTAACATCAAGTTTAATATATATAATATATAGTACATTATAAAGGTAAAAAATATATAACTATGCATTACAATGTAATCTTACTTATTATACCTATATTACAGGTTATGAGGCATTTATCAACCAAGACACATAAAGAGGCTGCACGATTGGAGGAAGTTAGTAACTCTCCTTCTATAATTAAAATAAATGAATCTCAGAGTTCAATAACAGATACCGATAACTAAAAAAAAGCATCAATTTTTGTAAAGTTAATTGTGTAGTATGGCAGATTTTGGTGGAGTTGGTGCTGGCTCCTTAAAATTAGCATTGGATAGTGTATTCATTGAAAACGTTATAGCTAAATGCAACCTTCTATTATCAATTACGAATTATTGTACAAAGTTGGTATTAGCAACAGCTGATGGAGCAAATATTAATCTGGGCATCTATAGTGGTGCATTAACTCAATTTTAAAAAAAAAAAAACATGGTTAATTAACATACACTGTGTTAATCACAGTTTAGAGCTTGCTATAAAAGACGCTATAAAGCAGTTTTAAGACTTTACGAATTGCAACAATTTTTATACGACTCTATTTTATCTTTTAAAAAAGTCTGGTAAACTTAAGGAGTCATGTAAACATACTGCCACTGCTTTATCTATTGAGTATTACACTCTAAATAAAATTCAAGGAACCTGATTTGCATCGCATTGTGTTAAAGGTTAAACTAGTTTAATGCATAACTGGCCAGCTTATCTAGTTGCCTAACCAAATGTACTAACTAACAAAGGTTATGCTAACCAAACAAGAGCCAAAATATAAGGGCTTGTAAAGAAATTAACAAATTATGCCTTTCTTTGCAAAACCGGAGTGTACCTGGATGTAATTGAGGCAATGAGCCCTTTTTCGCTTTTTTTTTGAAAAAGATGTTTTATTTACTTTTGAAGTGGATCCCCAAATTGTCCAGACAATAACACAGTTGACTGCACTGAATGCACTGACTGCAGAAGAAACTGACGAAGTGTACAGTAGCTCTGCACAAAAATTTATTATCAAAGAAGACAGTGGTTTTATTACTCTTGAATCTGGATATATAATCGCTGGCGACAAAAAAAGAAAAAGAATAAAAAATACATCAACATCAAATTTGATGATAAACCCAAAGCAAGAAGACATTGAAAGATCTTTGGAGCTAAGAAAAGATTGCAACAATATATTAATACTGTTAATTAATAGTCAATTTGCATCATTTAAAGATAATCCCGTGTTTGTGTCCATGACAAACGAGGACGGACAATCAAGATAATGGATGGGAAAGTATTAATTATTTTATGGGATATTTTTGCAAACCGCTTGAAGAAGCAAACTTCAAAGAAGCAACAGTTTTTAAAGAATGGAAGTACAATAGCTTTGCAATTATTGGTAAGTTCGTTTTACTCTATGTCAACTTTCATAGAAATTTGGGAAAAACAATTTATATACAAAAAAAAAAAGATTTTTCAAATATCTTTTTGTTATCCGAGTTTTGCCTTTGTTTATCATCGTCGAGCAGCGTAGTAGAGAGATGTTTTAGTACACTATCTACTATCCTTACAGACCATTGGCTCAGAATAAGACATAGTACCATGGAACAGTGCTTGTTTATTTCTGAAAATTCCCATGTATGGACAGATGGTCAACATAAAGATATATTAAAAGAAGCTGTTTACAAATACTTGGAAAAAAATAGTTGTTAAATTTCCTATTCAAACAGAAATATTAAACAAAGAAAATATGTCTAAAACTGATATTGCTGAAGTTCATACAAATATTAAGCAAGCAACTATACCGGTTAAAAACGAAAAAGATTTTTCAGAACCATCAAGTTCAGATAAACAATATCAATGATCCAGCGACAGTGATGACAGTTTCAATGATGATAGCACATCAGGTTTAGATGAAGAACACATTGAATCCATGGACAAAGACTAATTTATCAATAATTACAATGAAACAGTTTAGATTTATTAATTTTATTTAATGTTTGTTTAAATGAGATTATAACACTTTTTTCCACATTAAAATCTTGTTATGTTTAAAATCTCAAATAATATATTTAATAATAAACAGCAATTTATTTTCTTGTATAAGTATTGTGAAATAACGTTATTGCCTTTGCATAAACCTTTGTTAAAACTGAATAAAATAAAAAAGTTTAACCAAATATGTCTAACGTAAATAATGAATTAGTTTTTTTAATATATTGACTTATTAAATTCTTGAATAAATTATGTATTAAGTCTTTTTATTTTCGTGATATTTTTATGATTAATAGTCGTCTTTTTACTTGTATCAAATTTCGTTGCTGAATATATATATATATATATATATATATATATATATATATATATATATATATATATATATATATATATATATATATATATATATATATATATATATATATATATATATATATATATATATATATATATATGTGTGTGTGTATATAAAAAAAGAAAACAAAAGCAGTATAAAAATTTTGAAAAAATTATTTGAGTTTTATTTTTTTGTTACAAGATTTTTTTTTTTGTCAATTTTTTTTTTTATTAAAATATTTTTCTTACATCCAATTTCAATTTTATACTGTCTTAAGATTTTGTTACCTTTTTTTAATATTATTTTTTATTCTCTGTGGATAAGTTCCGCTTTCCTGCAAAATATTGCCACAATCACGTTTTCTGAAAAATTTATTTTATGCATGGACAAGACGCTTGACCGCACACCTTTACTGGGAAAGCCTGATTGTTGCTTTGTAGTGTGATATTCTTAATTAATTATAATTTTTGTTTTGTCCTTTAAAAATTATTTTTTCTTATTTTATATTTTAACTTTTTCTTTTTTTTCTGTCTAAAAATTTAATTCCTTATAGTATCAAGAAATAAATTAGCTTCTGATGAATGGATTTCAAAATGTTGTGGCGAAATAAGCTATAAAATCGGAAGTGATTGGTTTAGATAGGGACGGCACCTAGGCCTAAGCGATTCCGATCTTGATAATATTAAATACGATAACAATAAATGTTTTGAGAAGGCTGATAATGTTTTACAAATATATAAACATAGAAATGGAAATCTTTCATGGGAGCAATTGAAAAGAGAGTTAGAAGCTTTTAAGCGTTTTGATATAGTACTTGAAATAGAGAGGCAATTTGGAGGTAAGAATAACTTTTTGCTTAAAGTTAGTAAATTTTTTTTTTTTTTTTTTACAAAACATGAAAACTATAATTCTTTAAATTATAGATTACTTACTTAGTCAAGAAAATATGAGGTAACAAAATATCTTTATTTGTTTTTTTTTAATGTTAATTTATGTTGTTTATTTATTGATATTAAATTTATGCTGCTTATTTTTTAATAAATATCGAAAAAAATTATTTTGACGGGAGACCACTACTAAAAAAGTTAACTTAAAAAAAAAAAAGAGTTCTTAACAAAGAAAAAAACTTAACTAAAACAAAATAAGTTATGTTTAGAAAAAATTATATCTAAACTTCTCTCTTTTATAATTTTTTTATAAAATTAAACAACACTTTTATAAAAATTAACAACTAACTATCAATGGTAGTTTAATAAAGAAACAAATGTTTTTCAATTTATCAAAGCATATAATATGGTTCTTTAAATATTTGTTTTATTTTAACAAGATTCCAATAAAACTAACGGTAGTTGAATTATATAATAAATAAAAAAGTAAATATATTTTTATAATCATTTCATGCTTTGCATTTTTTGCAAAAAATAATAAAAGCAATTTTTTTTAAGTAAGATAAACAAATGAAATAATTAAATTGTTGCGTTACTATAATAATATTGTAACAACCTTTTAGCACTGTCTTTATAAAGTTTAAAAAAAATTCCACAATGCCCTAGACCTCTGAAGCAGCAGTCTTTACAGTTAAGTATCCATACTGCACACCATGTATTCATTTAATAACTTTATATATATAACTTATATATATATATATAACCTTATATATATATAACTTTATATATATATATATATATATTTATTTATATATATATGCATATATATATATGCATGCATGTATATATATATATATATATATACATATATATATAAATATATATATATATATATATATATACATATATATATATATATATATATATATATATATATATATATATATATATATATATATATATATATATATATATATATATATATATATATATATATCCTTATAGTGTAGTCGAAAGAGTCTTTTAATGTAAAAAAAGTCTCTTTCGGCTACAATTTTAATTACCTTGTCTCTTAAGCTGTATTTGATTGTCGTCGAAATGTCGTCGAATGTCGTCGAAACTTCAAAAAATATTTAAAATTTTTCAAATGATAAACTGCCTGCCCAAACCAAACCCTCAGTCGATATAGCAGCACTCCCTTGCAAGTCAGGCTATTAGTCAGTCGATGTAACAGCACTCCCTTGCAAGTCAGGCTATTTGTTAGTCAATGTAACAGCACTCCCTTGCAAGTCAGGCTATTTGTTAGTCGATGTAGCAGCACTTCCTAGCGAGTCAGGCTATTCGTCAGTCAATGTAGCAGCACTCTGTTGCGAGTCAGGCTATTAGATAGTCGATGTAGCAACACTCCCTTGTAGCAGCAGGCTATAAGATAGTTGATGTAGCAAAACTTACGTATGTTTTAAAAATGTTTTTTAAACAAAAACACCACTAATTAAAAAAAACGTTCTAGTCATTATTGCAATTGTTTTAAAAAACAAGAAAATTTAATGTTCTTTCGCATTAATTTAATTGCTTTGACATTTTGACGACAATAAAATGCAGCTTAAGAGAAAAGGTAAAAACATTGTAGTCAAAAGAGACTTTTTTTAAAATTAACGTCTCTTTCGACACCAATACAAGGATTTTTATATATATATATATATATATATATATATATATATATATATATATATATATATATATATATATATATATATATATATTTATATATATTTATATATATATATACTCCAACAAAAACAAGATCAAGCATTATTTATTTTTATTTGGTCCTATATCATATCAATTTAAGAGTATGACTGAATATTTCAAATCCACAAAAACAAAGCATATCCTTCTTTGTAAACCAAAGAGATCGCTAGGTTTTATGTCGTAGAACTCAAACCAAATCCTTATTATATGAGTATTGTCCATACTTTTTCAAAAAAGGTTATTTCTGAATTCAAAACGTCTTGCTATCATACATTTTTAGATTTAACTATTCTAAAATTGTAATAAAATTTTACAATATTTTGCCAAATCTAAATAAAATTTAACTCAAAAATTTGAACTCAAAAGATGTTTTTAAAACTGAAACTAAATTAATTTTTCTTAAAGGATATTGTATAATTCATTTCATAACAGTTATTTTTTTATTTATTACATCTAAATTTACATATTTTTTATAATTTTGTAATAAAAATTTTAATAAAAAAATAAATTTGAAATTGCAGTTTTGGACTAATTCTAATGTAATTATAAGTTAAAGTTTTACCTAATTTACACTCTATTCTAACTCAACTAAATTATTTCACAGATATGATATAGTTTAGTTCAATAATAAAATCAATTTGTGGAAGGTTCTATTATTTAATCTAGTTACTATTAGTATTTTTTTACTTTTTTTTTAGTTCTATTTTTTTGTTGCTGGAAAAAGTATGTCAAAATATCTAAATCAATAAAATAATAAAAATTTAATTAATAAAAAATTAGAGGAACAAGTTTAGCTGTTAATTTTTTGGGATATTTGATGAACAACAAATGCTTTCCATTAGTTGTTGTCCTGGGTACAAAGAAAATCTTTATAGGCTTAGAAAGGGAGATTCACCTAAAGGTGAATGGGGAGCTAAAATAGTAAAAGTATATTTAAAAGTCCTAATTTTTATTATTCTCACTTTCTTTTGTTTACTTATGAAAGTTGCAAGTTCCTTTAACTATGTTGAGTGGAAAACATTTAAGAGGAAGTCTTCCAGTGCCTGGTAGCTAAGCATTCTGGAAGATCTTGGTTATGGTATGAAGGAACATCCACATTAATTCAGGGACAAAACAAACTATTAGCAGTATTATTTATTTTCGAAAAATTTTTTTTGTGATAATTATCACAGCTATTTATATTATTATAGCTAATTATCAAAGCTTATTTTTATTATTAAATAGATTTGTCTCCATTGGTTACTTTAAATTATTTTATTACAAATTTGTCAAAAAAAAAATGTTTCAGTTTGTTAAGTCTTAATTCATTATTTTGTAAACTTATAGCAGTACTGAAATAAGTTTAAAAGTTTTATAATGGTACATTACTTTTTATTTGGTTATAGTTTATTAAATTCTAAATAAGTTTATACTTTTCTAATTAAGACCCACAAGTAATTTAATCTAATTATATTATAAAAAATATATTTTTTAAACTCCTATGTCAAGGAAAAAAAAGTTAAGTTTTAATATAAATAGATCAGAATGCTTGTGGGTTCAATTTAAAAAGAGACTATTCCCTATCTATTCCTAAGTCTTCCAAATGACGATAATCGTGAATATATGGGTTGTGTAATTTGTCAATGATCTACATTTGTTGCTGATTGCTGTTGTTACACACTATACTCTAGATTTATAATGTATCGTACTAAAACTATCTTCAAAATAAAACAATAGTATAGTATATGGTCAGGCTTTTTGACTAAATAGAATCACATTTAATGAAGAAAACCTAATTATAGAGCTAAAAGATCTGGCTAGAATATAAATTGTTAATTAAATCAAATCATCCTTTTCACAACGACGGCAATAGTTGTGTTGGTTTTTTCAAAACTTGTCGCTAAAGTTATGAGAATTACTCCCACTGATTATGAATTAATTAATTATTGCAATTTTTGCCATCATCAGATTTCTAAAGATTTATATGTTCTTGAATTTAAGTAAGCTTTTTTACAAGTTAATAAATTATTCCTTTTTAACGGCCTGCCCAAAACCTTTTGTACTTGCATGTACACTCCACTGTGCCTGTCCCTATTTGAGTCAGTTGATGTATGAACACTCCACTACGCAAGAGCGAACAAGTTTTTCTTTTTTTTTGCAGCAAAAAAAAAGAGACAAACGTCTCCTTAACTCTAAATGTTACATTTTGTCTTTTTATGTTCTTATATATCTATATTATCCATCTATCTATCTATCTATCTACCTATCTATATATATATATATATATATATATATATATATATATATATATATATATATATATATATATATATATATATATATATATATATATATATATATATATATATATATGTATATATATATATATATATATATATATATATATATATATATATATATATATATATATATATATATATATATATATATATATATATACATATATAGTAAAAACACGTTTAATTATTGTGCTCTTCACCGGAAGTTGGGAATACACCAGTTCAAGCGAAGTTCTGCCATTATTAATATCGCGAAAAAAAATCCGAGTGTTGATGTGACTTACCATTCCAAATGTTTTGTTTCCAAAGTTTAAAGAAAACACTGGATTAGTCAGCTTAGATGAGAAGGAAAGAAGAAAGGAAATGCATGGGAACCTGGAACTGCTGATAGAGTATGCTCTGATCATTTTGTTGATAAAATGTATGCGCGTGTGTAAATAAACAATTATAATGTGTAGAAATAACAAAAGGCGAATAGAAAATAGTAATTAATAATTAATAGTAACTTACCGTTTTTTTTATGGCTGAAATATGTATTATAAATATAATAAGTAAATTCCACTCATAAGCATTGATACTAAGTTAAGATGTTTTGTTTTTAGTACGAAAGTAGTTAAACGAAAGTATGATAAAAAATATATATAACTCTAAATAGTATGTTCTCATATTATGAACCCTAATCCAACAATAAGTATGGGTTTTGATCAACCTGTACAAAAAAAAGCTAGAAGAACTTTATTAAAGCACCCAATCACTTCTTTACCTTGCTCTAATAAAATGCAGCCTGTACAACCTTTGTTGACTGAAAAAAGTATTGTCACCAAGTTTCCAAGTGTTAATTTTAATGCAGGTGTTTTATCACTTATATTATCAGACCATACCTATTCAATGAGTTTACCACTACCTAATATATGTACTTCATGTGAATACAAATCTTCACTTATCACCTGTTACTAATCAGTTAAAAAAGTTAAAAATAAAACAAACAGTCTAAACAAAAATTCTCTTGGAGATTAGTTAGCAATGATAAGAA